TGCATCATTAAAATTTCGGTAGGTAATTAATTCCAACTCCGTACGTAACTGATCGTGGTGGTTATGCTAGGTTCGTGGTTCGATGGTGTCACTATATTGCATTGGGGATCGGCAAGCAGATCTATATCATAACATTTAGCAACTTCATCGTCGCCCTTTGTACAATTGGCAAGTTTATTTTTAGTACATATAACACCTTTTTCAACAAGAACTACTTCAAGGGGATCTCTATCGAGACTGAGAGTAATCGAACAGAGTATCAGTTTTCCTAGATCACATAAAGGTAGACCATTTTGTCTTGCGACTAATGGAGTTGTTAAAGCGACTCCTGAAAAAAATCCGAGAACGAATAATCGTAGTAAAAAAAGTGAGTTTTATCTCAATAAATAAATTGGTAATAATAATAACCAAAACATTTATACATACCTTAGATATAAATTTTCGTGTTAAAATTTTGGGGCAAACGAAAAAATGAATGGTATTTATAGTAATTATGATTCAAAGAAACTTAAATACATTTTAAGCACCGATAAGTATATGCGTATGTTTAAAGAACGTGTAATATTTTTGTTCCCTCAAGTTAATAAATGTTATACAAAGTTAATTAAATTGGAAAACATATTACGGTATATACATTCGCTACATACGAATTTTTCAAATTAATTTTAAGTCTACAACACCTATTGTGTATAGAACACTGATAAGCATACACATATACATATACATGCACGTGTTTTCATTTTCTCAAATCAAACACGTCATATCAGTAATATATTTCTTTGTTACACATTTCATGCTGTATTATGTTCTTCGTAATTTTGGATGCTGCATTTAGGTTGACTGTAATAACCATACGTTGACCAAATGAATTTTGACATTATTATTTTAACAATTTTTAACAAAATTTTATTAACAATAGCACTAAATCACACCAGTGGTGTTCAACACCATATAATATGTTTTAATAGTTTGCTAATAAAATTTAGGGTTAAGGAATGCACTCTAGTAAAGATATAGGTCTAAATTTTAGTTGAGGTGAGGCTTTTTGGATGCTAATATTTTTGCTTAGTACCATTGACATGTGTTAGTTAGTGTGTTTTTGAGATATAGCAAATATGGTGTTAAGATCGCTAGTCTGACTTAGTAAAGCCGTTTATAAATTAGTCAATTATATTATCGACATTGATAAAATGCACCTATGATGTTTAGCACATATGCATGTTGTCGCGGGCTTCTAGGGCGAGTTCAAGGATGAAGCAAAATGCGACGAATTGTCGCTTCAAAATCGTTGAGTCGCGTAACGTTACTCGAAAGCAAGACGAGGCGGTTACGATTTGGCAATGGCTAAAGTGGCTTTCGAGCAAGTTACCGGGTAATGATAGGGACTTTTTAAAGAACGTTTGTGTCTCTTGGCACTTTTTATAATTTACAACCTGTTTTATTTATATTTATTTATTAACGATTTTCTTTATTACAGGAGTAGGGAGGCAAGGGTCCTGTCCCGCTTAATGTCAGAAAGGAGGACTTTTATAACGAATTATGAGGGAAGTATATTGGGAACGTTTCCCCCTTTTTCCATACTAAAATTTCTTTTTTTCTTTTAATTGCACAATTTCATCCTTTGACTCATGCTTCCTTCTTTTCATCAACTTCTCTATTTCGTAGGTCCCGCCATAGAGCTACAACCTCGTAACCCAAAACGTCTTCGCGGTACTAAGGCTCAGTTGTGAACCGTGAAGGTAAGTTATTTCTCCTCTTTCTGGTTGAGCGTTGTGGTGGTTCTACTAATTCTTTCTTCCTTTTTAGGTTAGTCACTACTCCTTTTTGTGGGGCCCCGGCATAGCATAGTAGTTCCGAATCTTGGTGCTTCTCTTGCATAAAATGGGGAGAAATCGGGTTACACGATCGCTGGTTCTAGATCACGATCCAGATTGCACTTCCAGTCACGTTTTCGGACACGTTTTCGACGATCGTTGCGCAACGACTCTAACTGGGTTTCCCTCTAACAATGCATTATCTCAAAAACCGTTAATTAAGCAGTGGGAGGTGTTCAGAGTTAATTTTTGGAATAAAAAAGTATCTATATCTATACGTATAATGTACAGATGAGATATTTCCTTTTCTAAAATTATAAGAAAATTTTGATCACAAATCTTATGCATAAAAATAACCAGCTACAAAAAAGTGTATGATTTAATCTAAATCAGATAAAAAGTTGTCACTGTAACCATTACATCGATTCTCATATATAAAAAAAATGGGCCGAGCAAAATTATAAATCCCTTAATATATAATTTACATATACAAGTTTTAAGTCTATCTTTCGATTAGAATGTTCCCTTACAAAAAATGGTTAAAATTCCAAAAAAAATATTTTTAGAAAAGTGTAACTAGCTTTAAATAGGCAACAAATAAAGAGAATTATTAATGAAATTAAAATTTTTCATATGTGAATTTTTATTTATACGATAGTATGTGATACACGGGTACTATAGACAGCCAATCAGATTGCACGATAAGGTGTAAGTCGCTTTGTTTATAATATTGTCTTTATCTTAAAATTTCGATTATGAAACGACTTTTTGGGTCCTAGCAAAAAAAAATTTCAAACCACCCTAACTATAAGCAAGGGTCTAATAATAATGACATGTTACACGGATTTGCGATTATGATTAGAAATTTTCTTTCATTCATGTAACATAAATATGGAAATGATTGGTGAACACAAGACTGTAGCATTTGTTCTACGCATTGTGCGTATCACGGGCATCATGTGCATATCATGGGAATATTTTGGAATCTCTCGGAATTTTATTCCATTATGATAAAAAGAGGTGATGATTAAAACTCCGAATAGTTAAAATTGGTTTTAAGTATGTAAAGAACATAATCATCACCTGTTTTTAATTATGTAATAAAAACATTTTCCATCCCTAATGATAGCTTGCTGCTAATGCAGAACAGAATCGTGAAATCCAGAATATTCTTAAAACTCGGTGAAATTTCGAAATATATGCCATAAAAAATTCACCCCACGTGACCAATACAAAAATTCTTTGAGTTCGTTTAAGTTTGAATTAGTGTCTAGATTACCTAGTCAGTGCATGAATGGTAAAAAGAACTTTCTTAATCATCTTATGTCACACTAAATCAAGATATTTTATTGGCCAATAATCGCGTGACGGAGATTTTTTATAACGATATTGTTGATCTGATATGACTATTCTATCCATTTATGGTGCACTTTAGAATTATCACACATGGTTGATTTTGTTCAATGAAGGCACCGAATTCAAAATGATGCATATTTTAAGATTTGATAAATATGCATTCAAAACTTTTTACAATGCGCCATCTCACAAACACAAAAAAAATGAGCAGAGATATTCTCATTCCTCTTGAAGATGAAGAATTAAACAATACTAGATTTTATAGGCACAATATTTATGAACATTTGTTTGATGGCAAAGTAGGTGCTCCAGTTCGTAAAAAATTACAAAACGGTGCCAAAGTACTAGAATTTTGGTAAATCATATTCTTATAATTTGATAATATTTTTATAAAAAAATTATTAATTTAAATTTTCGCGAAAAAAAGTTGTGAGAGCGGAGTTTGGACTACAGAGGTATTTAACATATTACCAATTTTAATATTGATAACTTTATTATTATTATTTTTTTGTAATTAATTCACAGAACTACATTAGGTTGCTGCAGAATATCCAAATTCAGAATTTTATGCAGTTAGTTCTGTTCAACCAGAATCTATCAATAAATTTAATAATATCACATTTATTGAATGTGACATTTTTAAAAGGTTACCATTCCCTGATAATGAATTTGATTATGTTTTTTCTAAAGATAAATTTTTATATATGGAAAAAAATAAATTTCAAGAAGTTTTATTAGAGATCTTCAGAGTATTAAAACCTGGAAGTTGGTTAGAGGTGAGAAGTGAGCTTAACTTTATACTATTATTTTTATGGATTCTAATGTTACTTATATTAGGTTATATATTCATGTACAACGGACCTTGTTTATGGGCCATCATATAAACGACTATCTGACGCAAGTACGTTTATCGCGCATTTATTCTAAAAATATAAGAGTTATGTCGTGCTTGAAGTTTAGCATCTGTTTAAAGTTGAAACTTCAAGCACCTGAAGTTGAAAATGACTAAAATTACTAACTAATGCGTGCAAGGAAGATATAGTTTTAGTTAGTGTATCTAAATTGGTAACTTCAAGCAGATGTCAACTTCAGAAACGACATATATTTATAAAAAGTCTCTGATGAATTGCATGCAACTAGACAGTATCGAGCCAGAATTTGATATTGCATTTAGAAAGATACTGTATTAAAAAAATTGCATTAAGAGGCCTCACTATATTTTAAAATGTTTTTTTTAACCTATTCGTAATCATTTAGTGGATTCTTGGTACAAGGTACAGAATATCGATCTAGAAATAATACATAACTTTGAAAATTACCTTAAAAAGAGTGGAAAAACTGAAGATATATTGTGTCGAACAATAGACACTCAGTTAAAAGGTGGATATGCCTTTGGAGAGTTTATTATTGAAATTCTTTTATTTTTTTATAGAAGTTCTAGAGGTTATTTAGCTCCTTTTATGAACATTTCATTTGAAGAATTTGATAACTTGGTGAATGATGCTGAAAGTGAACTCAATTCTGAAGATAATAAAACAACTTTAAGACATATACAAGTACTTGCAAGAAAGAAGTACACCATTCTGGATAGAATTTTATGCACCATATCATGTATTAACTAAGTAGGTATCAATGTTTATTCGTCGCAGGAATTGTATGAAAGCAAAATACGAAATGGATCAAATAATTTAACTTAATATTGTAACTAGCACGTCTATTACGTGTAAAAAATCTATATATATATCTTATTCATTTGTAATATTCATTTACAATCTATTTTATAATATTTCGCATACCCCATTTTTTTATTTATCTTTAAATTTAGAAAGTATAGCTATATATCGGCTGCTTGAGCAGCCGAAATACTTTTTATATTCAATTGTAAATAAATAACTATTACTTGAAATTTTCAAGAATTTAATTCTTTAAAAATTAAGGCCTGAGACTAAACTCAGTGAGGAGTCTCAGAAATAAAATAAAAATTATAGTTTCGATCCGGATTAATTCGTCATCCATTTATCCAACGTTATATTCTGATATTCAGCTTTTTAACCAAATTGTTCAATGTATTAGATATTACAAAGTTTTAAGGTAATCAGCAATATAATTTAGATAAACTCTATTTTTACTTGGATGTAAACAGAAAAGTCAGATTATCTTAGAACTTGTAATTATTAAATGAATTTATATTGACTACTTTAGAACTTGTAATCGTTAAATGAATTTATATTATAGATTACTTTAGAAATTTGTCAAATGAATTTACATTATTTATTATTTAAAACTTCTGACTATCAAATGAATCTAAAGAATTTATTTATTTATTACACTATTTTATTTAATTATATATCAGATGTCAGATATCTAATAAATAAATAGTTAATAGTTTAAAATACTAATTTTCTTGAAATACTTTTTAAATTTAATATTTCACTTTTGAATATAAAGCTTTTTGTAATTTTTATATATAATAATCTAGTACTGTAATTATATCATTTAATTATTTATTTATTAATCTATTTTATTTAATTATATATCAAATATTTGATAAATAAATAAATACACGTAACTCTCGATATAACGGACTCTTGATTCAACGGAGACTAAGTAAATCTTTATATAATGGATCAAAATTCAAATACACATCATAATAAATACTACTTGATATAATGAGTTTACTAATAAAACTCACGATGAAGCGAATTTTAAAAATTCCTCACTATGTGACCGAGGGTATAGTTGGTGGTAGAATTAATTTTGAAAATTATCGAATTACGGCACGTGCCGTATTTTTTGCCGTAATTACCGTAATTATAAATACTGTGAGCAGTGGAAACGTGATCCCGGAAGCACGTGGCAGGGATGATCGATGTGGCGCAGTGACACAATTAACGGCTATGTCGATCATCTACCTAAAATGGGGGTCACCTTAAGCGTAGTACATAACATGACTACCTAGCCAATCAAATCCCTAACCCTAATATTAATCAATATCGGGTAATCTCGTGATGTACTACGCTTTAACCTCCCCCCTAAAATGGGTTTCCCGGGATTATCGGTCGTAAAAGTCGTTTAGAAGATATAAGGGAAATAGCGGTAATAAGGGTTTTAAGTAGGGTTCAGGGCATGGCAAAAAAATTGAGCATGCCCTTTTTAAATCATGTGATTAACATATAGTTTAAACTTCTTAAAAATCTTGCATGTTGATTTAGTATCTACGGTTCTAGTTTACCTGAACTTATTAGCCAATTAAAATAACTTTAAACATTACATGACAAGGGCATGCCCTTTGGACTTGAGGCATGCCCCACCCCCCTGTGCCCTAAACTCTAGTTTTAAGGGAAAACTATAAGTAAAGGGATATATGATATATAGGGGAAATACAGGACATTAAAAATGTTACGTTAAATAATAAGTTTAGTATGTTTAATAGCTGTAGGAGCGCATATGTAATATAACAGTATATAATAAAGGCTTCGAGCCCTACATGAGTAGTAGTTTTCGTGCTTGCAATACATTTTGACCCAAATACTTTCCTGCTTTCGTGACATTATATTGTAAAACCTATGATCATAACCAAAATTAAGTATATCGACCAAAAGCCTGGATCAGAATTCATCGGAAACAGTTCGTATTAAGTAATACCGAAACGTTCCGATGTATACCGACCCAAAATTTTCCGCCTCATGATTACGGCAATTAGATGCTATGCCATACCATATTGTAGAATGCCGCAATGCCGTAATTCTACCATCAACTATACTCGAGGGTACTACGTTATATCAAGAGTGACGTGTAGTTAATAGATTAAAATAATAAATTTTTTGATATATGTACCTTTTAAATTTTGTTTATTTTTGACTATAAAGCTTTTTCTAATTTTTAAATATATTTATTTTATAATTTAGTACTGTAATTATATTATTTATTGATTTTTAATTTCTATACATCTAGTACTATAAGTAAATAGAGTTATTTATAATTTTGATTTACTAATTACTCTATTAGAATTAATTTTATATTTTTATTTGAACTAAAAAATTTTCAGTTATTAAGAGAAACTAATTTTATTAAAAGGTAGCTGCGCAGCACGCTGTGCCGCGCAGGACCAGTACGATCGATATCAGTAAGTTCATGCATATACATGTAAGTACTCAGGTATATACAAGATTGAGTTATAGCAACTAGAAGTAAACTGGGTTTTTTAAATACACTGCACTGTTATCTTAGCCACGGAGCCTGCAACCCATTTAGCGAAGGTTCATGCACTATTACTTAAAACAAGATTTTTGCACTGCTACCGCCTAACTACCAAGGTTCTCGTACTGCTACTGCAGCTTAATTGCTAC